AGGTATAATCGTGTAAATAATTCTAATAAAATTCCTTCAGCAATGTAAGCTACCTTAATAATAAAAAAAAAAAAATCTAGTATAGTATTCTTAGTAGTACCAAGTTCAAAAAATATAATATGATCAATGATAGTTTGTTTCTAAGTAGCATAGCTAACAAAATAAGTTTGGGTTTAATATTTGAAGTACTGTATATGCTAAACTTGTATTTTGATATTATAAATTATATACTTATATTCTTTTTATATATATTTGATATACTCTATTCATATATATTAGATGATAAGATATCTTACTCCTACACTTTAGGTTATAAAGTATCTAAAACTACAGATTAGAATTTGTGATTACTTATACCTATTTATTTAGCTTATAGATAATTTGTATTTAACTTTCTATATTAAGATTTGCAATAAGTTACTAGCTGATTAGAATTCATATACCTATACTTTAGCTTGTGAAGTACTTGTTTTTTAGAAGTTTTTTTTTTTTTTTTTTCTTTTTTTTTTTTTTAAGCAAAGCCAAAGTAAGGCTATATTTCTATCTTTATTAATAGTTTAATTAAAAATTTTACAAAAGAAATTTCTATATACTATGCTAATACAAGATATAATTTTAAACTATATAGCAAGATTTGAAACTCAGACTAGTTTATCTGTGACCTAAACCTACTAGAGTAATTATAACTCATCTAGATTTAAATATTAATTATTTTATTTGTTGGAATACTATATTTAATCTATTTAATAGACCAAATATAAAGTTTATGGTATACTAGTCCTTCTAAAGAGCAGAGAGAGTTTTTATATTATTTTTTAAGATATTCATATATACAACTAACTTTGTTTGAACTAGAGCTATAGTAAGTTAGAAGTAGACTTGGTTGTATAGTATTAGTTTAAGGATTTTGTTTGTAGAGTTTAATATTATCTGTTTGTTTCTATTCAGAAAGTTTAGTATAGTAGGGTTTTTATAATTGCTCATGTACTGATTCAGATATTTTAATAAATAGTAAAGTTATAAGTTGTTAAGCTAATTTGTGAAATTCTGTATAGAGATATAGTAGTTGATTAAATTATTTAGTACAAGACCTGTAATAGATTAATGAAATAAAATATTATTAGAAAAAAGCTATGATAATGGTAATTAATAAGAGAGTTTTAAAGATGTATAAGTTGTAATGATAAAATATTAAAATTATGTAGTATGAAGTTAGATTGTATATTTGATTTATTTATATTAAAGCTTTGAGCAAAATAGCCAATATATATTATTGTCAGTTTGGTTGCAAAAGATATATTGTTTTGGTTTGATAATATTTGAATAATAAGTATATAGTTAGAATATAGTAGAAAAGTTGTTTAAGAGATTTTTAACTTAGAAAGTTTTGATTCTACTCAGTTTGTAATTAGTATAGTTAGATGAACATAAAAGATTATTATTAATTATAGTTTAAGTTATATTCTAGTTAACTTGTTTTGAAAATTGTTTTCAAAGTTGTACTCTAAATTGTAAGGACCACATAGCAATTATAAAAGTATTGTAAATATTTTTAATGAATTTATGTATTGATTGTTTAATAAAAAAGTTTTTCTATTAAAGTATATAGGAATTGTTAAAGTAATTTATATAGTTGAATTCAAAAGATTCTAAAAGTAAATAGTATGAGGCTAAATAGTTTGCTATATTATTAAATTCATTATCACTATAGGCTTGAACCTTATAAAAAGTAATATTGATGTTTTGTGATTTAATAAAATTAAATTATATTTCTCAAATTTGCTAATAATTGTATTTTGTTTTAGTGTTATAGTTTCTTGTTTGTTGTTAAACTTAGATATTACTGATTGTAAGTCAATAAAAATTTGTATATTGCAGTTTTTTGAGACTATACTTATAGCTAAGAGTATTGCAATAAGTTCTGCTTTATATAATGAGGGTCATATTTTAATTTGTATTACAAAAGTTTGAACTATTTAGTTATTAATAATTTGTACTCAGCTAATTCCTATAGAGTATTGGTTTTTACATATATTTTTACTAAACTATCAGTATAAAATATAAACTCTTGTTAGTTTAAATTTTGTAATGCTATATTGTTTAAGAGTTTAGAGGTTTCGTTAAATTTAAATATTTTGTTTATGTAGTTAGTTTCTAAATTGATATTTAGAAGAGGTAGAATAGTTAATAGATATCTAATTACTAGATTATAAATTAAGTTAACAATATTAGCATTAAGCTTTAATCTGGTAGAAGAGCTACTTGTAGGAGATCTAGCTCAGACTTTAGTACTATATATAGCTAATACCTCAATAGTATATAAGTTTTTAATATAATTAGAATTTTGGTTACAAACTAAGTAAGGAGTATAGTTGATTTGTGAGTTGAAGTAGTAGACTATATAACTTAAATTATAGTCAGTAGTCTAATGAGTTATTAATATAGAGTTGTTGTTTAAAAAGAATTTGTAAGCTTTTCTTAAAATAAATTTTTTTTTTCTTTTTCAGCAAGCTATGCCTTATCATTTATTCAATATAATTATGAAACTACAAGAGTTACAAATACCTAACTTAACAACTAAAGAAGGCAGTGCATATCAAAGTGCAAATATCAATAGTAAGACTTAACTAGCTACCCCAAAGGTACCTATTCGTAACCTACTATAATGTAGTTTTAATTCAACCTAGAGTCTAAACTAGTCTATCCCTTCCTCATCGGTATTACTATATAAGACTACCTAGCTCATCATAACTTCTCACCCATACAGTTAAATATTACTAAACTGATAATACCTTTTCATATAGTAAAAAGGAAAAATAAAAATACTATATATAAAGGACTGTATTACTCTATGGCATATACTATATATATAAGATAATAAACATATAAAGAAAAACAAAAACAAAGAACAAAAAAAGAAAATATTACTCAAATACTATCTCCATAATGCTTAAGACTTATGTAAAAATTGTATAAAGTACTGATACTACAATATACTTTATATTTCTAATTAATAATCTCTGTTCTGCTACTAGAAGATATCTAAATTTGCTACTGACTATGCTTGTCTAATTATGTATATTATTGTTTACTATTGGGTTGTTTGTAAATATATAGTATTTACTAATTTGAACATAGTATTGTTAATCCTTTTTCGGGAGTAGGCTGAATCTTTACAAATAACAAAAAATAAAAATCTAAAGAACTGAGAGAAGTAGATAGATGTAAAAAACCAAGTAGGAGTAAATGAGTGTAAAAGTATTTGTCTTAGTACAAATACTGTAGTATGTTTTTTCTTCTTCATTCAAACTTCAACTTTCTATAAACTTCTTTTTTTCAACTTTAATACTTTATAAGACAAACTTTCAGCTAAAATATTAGAACTATCTGCTTCAGCTTTCTGCTACTTATTGTCTTAAAAGTTTTATAAGACTATACACTCCATGCTTCTGTTTTGAACTAATATTTTACTGGGTTTTCTTAGGTTTAGTACTTGTTTTATAAAAAAGTTTTTGCTCTGGTATTGGTTTTGATGATTAGCAAAAAGAGTTACTGTTAGAGTTAACACATCAAGCCTGATTTTAAAATAAATCAGGATCAATCTGATTTTTAAATAAATCTAGATTAATTTTTTAAGTAACATAAATCTGGATAAAGCTAAAATTCAGATATATTTTAAAATCCGAATGTATATTAAAATCTGGATTAAAGTTAAAATTTTGATGTAAATTAAAATTCAAATTTAACTATAAATCCTGATTTAATCCTAATTGCATACAGTACATATTGGTATGTTAATTTAACTTCTTAATATATATATTTCTATATTGCCATACTACGTATAATATGTTAATTTTTTACTGATAACAATAGCTATAAAATAAAGTGATAATTTTTATACTGATAACAATAAAAATAGGAAATTACTATTTATACCCCGCATTTTTACTATTCATACCCTCCTAAAAATTATTTTAGCCACTTGTCGCATGAAAGTTATGTAGCATCTAATAATTTTGATATGTAAACTTGAGCAAAGACAAATTTTAATTGAACATTATGTGTTAAATGTCATCATTATTGTTGTACTTTATAGGAGAGAGGTAAGAATATTAAAAGTAAGAGGTATAAATAGCACTACTCTAAAGATAATGACAAAAAATAAACTCTTAATTGTCATTATTTATATAGTACTATTACAAAAATAAATAAATAAAAAATATACTTAAATCTTTGATAATTAAAAGAAATATAATAATAATGTCTTCTCAAGAACGGTCACCCTTACCCTCATTAATAGAAGAAGAGAAAGAATACATACCTCAAACACTATATGAAACCTCTAGTTTAACTTCTACTTCCTATGAACTTTATAAATCTGAAGGATCTTTCAGAAGTAACCAAAAAAAAAAAAAAGCCTTCAGTAGTGGAACTCTAATAACCTTACCTCAGACCTCTGATACAATAAAAAAAACAAGAATCAATACCAGCTATACACTTTTTTTTTTTAAAGATGATGAAGCAGATGATAAAATTAGATATTATAAGATTTGTATCAAAAAATATAAAGGAACTCAAGCTAGTCCTTATCCATATTCTAAGTTAGGTAGTAGTACAGGATATTTAATGCAGCATCTTCATAATAAACATTAAATTACTGCAAGAAATTATAAAGATTTTCTTGATTCTTAAAAACAAGTAAAATGTTTAAACTTAATGTAATCTATTTAAGCTTTATTAAATTACTTAAAATGAATTAAATTATTTTATAGCCAAAAGTGAAAGTCAATCAAATCACAAATTATATGAATACACTTTTACCTAAATGACAAAAAGAACTTACAAAATATGTTGTAGAGTTTATTGTATATGATATCCAACCTTTATACATATTAAAATATTTATCTTTTCATCGAATGCTTTTAGCATTTCAACCTCATTATCAGATACCTTGTACAGAAACAGTTAAGGAATATATTTTAGAAGCTTATAATAAGAGAATAAATCAATTTAAAGAATTATTAGCTAATACAGCCACTACTATTCATTTGACAACAGACCTGTGAATCTCAAAGAGCAAGCATAGCTACCATGGTATCACTGCTACTTGGATTACTCCTGATTCTAAATTTCATGAAACATTACTTACAGGTCATTACATGCCCTACCTACATAATAGTGAAAGTATTAGTGAAGAGCTTTCTAATATCATTTCTGAATAGAACTTAGAAGATAAAGTATACATAATAACTACTGACAATGGAGCCAACATAGTAAAAGGAATAAAATTATTGAACGATAATTATTTACTGAATATTTACTAACAACCTTGCATTGCATACACCCTTCAACTTTTAGTTAAAGAAGGATTAAAGCAAGTTAAACCTATCTATCAATGATTTAAAAGTATTCAAACCTTTTTTCATCTTCCAAAACAAGCCTAATGATTACGGAAAACACAAATACTTATAAATTCTAATTTACCTCAAGACAGTAGAACAATTAGTCCTCTTGAAGTATTAACAGACTATAAGATATATTGGAATTTATCTTATTTGGCTTGGAAAAGAATTCTAGAGTTGTATTCAGCAATACGTATGTTAGCTGCATTGTTGAAAAGTAAATTAGATTCTGTTTCAAAAAAAGAAAGTGAAAAACTCGATCAACTCTGTTTGACTTCTAATGAAAAAAAGTATTTAATTTTTAAAATTTTTTTTTATGAATTAGGCTTGTTTTGGAAGATGAAAAAAGG